ATCGATTAAAATGAATATAGGTATGCTCGAAATAAGTGAACAATTGAAAAATATCAAAAACACCTTCTTCGTTGACTGTTTTACGACCGAACTTCCGAATTTGTGTCTTTTAGAGGATGATTCATTCTGCACTTCATCCAACTTCCTTTTACTTCTTCTTCCTAACTCATGGATTCCAATTTTCTCCTCACGTTTCCCACTTCCTGAACGAGTCATCCTTGAAGTTTTAGAAGACTTCGGTTAAACTGTGACCACTTTTTTTGGAAAGGAACGTAAAAAATATGTGACCAACAGTAGAAGAAGGTCGTCGGGGAATCGTCGGAGAACGATAGGGATGAACGTCTGAATATGGGCTGGATGAACACCGATTTAATCGTAGAATAGAATACGCGAGGGACGTGGGTTTTATGAAAAGGACGGTTTTATGGAGGTTTTAAAGAAAATAGAGTTTCTAAAATTTAACTTACGTGACTTTAGGGAGAGATAGTTATTAAATAATTAAGAAATGAAAAAAAAAAATCTGATTAGTAAAATATTAAATTTTCACTCTTATTTGAAAACTATGAATGGATAAACTATGATTTTATGTAATTACCACTTCTGCTTTTCCAGGTCCGAAGGCCTGTGGGCCATTTTGCCAAGCCCAGCACGATGGGCGAGTTTTGACCAAAGTTTTAACGGCGGGTATTTTATGCCAGAGTCGTGCTGAACGGCTCTTCTGCGCTAAAAATGGAAGCCTCTCTGAGCTTCAGAAGCTCCTCATTTCTTCGTCTAACTCCGACGTCGTTTTCTCCTCACTTCCCAGCTAAACTCAGATTAACGGTTTACTTCTTTCTGTAGTATTTTTTTTGCTATTTTTTTGTTAATTATCTCTCACTAACTGAGTTCTATTTTTGTTGAAAACAGCGATTAAAACGTTCAAACTCAGCATATAATTATCAAAATCATAGTATACTGGTTAGAAAGGCTTGTGGGTCCGAAGAAAATGGGTCAGTTAATGGGTTTCCAGCTTTGCCGAATAAAATTTTCATGGAAGAGGTACTTTCTTGTTACTTAATTTGTTCTTTCATATTTGCTTTTCTTTAATGTTTATAAGTTATTTTGAATTTATAAGTGCAGAGAACTTTTTCGGATTTTGTATTCTTGGATTTTATTCCGAAGAACAAGTTATTCTGAAAGAGTTGTTATTATTATTAAATCAAGTTATTCTGAAAGAGTAGTTGTTGTTGTTGATAATAATAATAATAATAATAATAATAATAATAATAATGCTGAACTTGTGAACCTTTTGGATAAGTTCGGGTTGTAATTCAAAGTTTGCAATTTATGCCAATAATTAACTTTGTTAAATTGCTGTGTTGAATATCAAATCTTTTGTGTGAGGCATACACGGATATATTAAAATGGTTAAAGCTTGAATATTGGGAAGTAATAATCTCTGGTCTCAATTCGATGTATTTAGGCAATTGGAGCTGAATACGGGGAAGGTTTTGAGACATTTAGACCTGATGGTCTCCTTAAAGTTGATGTGGTAAGCCACCTTTGATGTATTCTATATCATCTATTTTTGCTGTTTCTTGAAACTAGCTGTAGATTTATGTTTAATCATCTTGCAAAAAAGTTCTTGTAACTTACTCTTGTTTGGTGCGGTGTATAGGACTTTTTAAATGATAGATTGCAAGAAGGTTTTCTTCAAAGAATTCGGTATGCCATGAAGCCTGATGAAGCTTATGGGCTTATATTCTCATGGGACAATGTTGTGGTAAAATTTTTCATTTCAGTTTTGTGTTTTATGTAAGTGTTTCTTGCCAAATCTTAGTTTTCATTTCAGTCATAACTGGAGATATGAGTTTGTACTTCATGCGGTAGTCTAAAAGGGTACATCGACTAACCAATCATTTCCTTGTTCATGTATTTTGTGGTTTTGTCTAGCTTTTTTGGATATTTTTGATGGATCAACATGCAGAGTTGACTTTGATACAGAAACATAATATATTTGACAAAGGTGACATATATCCATTTACATTTAATTCTAACATGGATGGTTAATTAATTTTTTGTGATCATCTAGTGATTTCACACTGGAGGATTGTGAAAGATGTATAGACATGATCAGTGCATGAAAAGTCTGAGTAGCGGTCTGGAGAGAATGTTGAAGAAGAGACAGCGGGTAAAACTTTTGACAAAAAAGCTATAGGATTTTTTGGCATAGAACTCAGAGGCGATTCTGACTTTGAAACCTTTTTCTTAAAGGTAAAACCTAAAGGAAGTCTCACACATGCTATGTCAAAATAAAAGAATGGTTGGTGAACATAAAAAATTACCTGCTTTACTACCTTCATATGGTAGGGACTTTTAACTCATCAATGAGGGAACTGTCATTGGATTTGTAGATTAGATGAAAACTCGGTCTCCTTCAGATAAAGTATTGAGATAACTGCTGGGGAGTTGAAAAGAAGAAAGTCCCAAGGAAAGTGTTGTGCAGCACATAACCTGTGATATTGGGTTGTCAATGAAGAAGGTGGGAGATTACTCCTTTTACGAGAATCATTCAAAGGCCAGTGAGAATTTTCTAGTGCAGTTTTAGGTACTGGATACTTTTTTGTATAGAGACTGTGATGTAGCACCAATAGAAACACCCAATAGAATATGAGAAACAATCTAGCAGTGACGAAGAAATCAGAGGTAGATGAGGCAGAATAAGAAAACAGTGGGAGGAAAAGTGGAAAAGAATGGAGGAAAGGAGAAAAGTGCGCAACAAGCCACCAATATTTTTATTCAATCATCAACTGAAGGAAATTACTTGGCAAATTAGATTTAAATAGTAAAAACAAAACCCTAACTAGATGAGTTTGGGCCAATATAAACCCAATTACATAAATAAGAGTCCAAAACCTAAATAAAGTCCAACTAGAAAAATAAATAAATGGATGTCCTTATCAACTCTTCCAGGGTGGGAAAAAAACTCGACATTGTCGAGTGGACAGATAAAAAAAAACCGCAATCAAGCTGATACTTCGAATGCTTTAAGTCATAGAATAGAGGATGACCTCTCTATGGAACCAAGTATCGAAACTCCAAAAACAGTATGATCCATATTAGTTGGCACCTCTCTTTTGGAATCCATGTACAATCCAAATCAGGTGAAACGACCCAACAAATAAGGAAGTACTGAATCTTGACATTATTGGTTAATATACATTCATCTAAAATAACATCAATTTTATCTTTATGTGCGGTGACAGATGGTATTGAAGTAGAAATATCAACATAGTCAAGTTAGGGGTCCACAAAGCTAAGTAGAAAATGATCATTAAAGGAATTAAAACGGTGTTTGTAAGTAACGAAGTCCTCAATAGTTAACATAGAGTGGTGAACAAAATGTGATGAGAGATCAATGATATATGCATTTGGACCAACATGCTTTAAAATTTAAAAAAACCTGCACTATTGGCTTGCAATTTGGAGGCGAATCCAGATGGACGCTGCTCCGTTCTAATTCGGATTATAACATAATTCCCAATATTAAATGTAACATGTTGCTTGTGCAAACCAACTCAAAGTTTATATGATGCATTATTTGCTTTAAATTGTTTATTGGCCCTCGTTAAATTACATTCCATTACATTCAATTTTTCTCTCTCCTTTTTTCAACTATACAATCTTTCATAAAATAATATTACACGTAAATCGAAAACTTTTCCTTCTTTTTCAACTACTC